GGGAGCAGGGGCTTCCCTGGGAAAACACTGGGGTGCAAGGGTGTTTTCTGGGGTTGTACTGGGCTACACTGGGGTGCACTGGGATGTCCTGGAGTGTCATGTCCATGGAGGGGAGGGTCTGGGTCCAACAGAACTCATGGTGCCCACCTCAGCTCTCTTCACTTTCCCGAATTTGAGAAACTGCACCTGTAGAGAGACCATGAGACCTCACTGGTCACTGGGATGTCCCCAGTCCCAGCAAGGGATGGGAGAACAAAATTGTCCTCCTGTTGTCCAGACCGTGCGCCCTCTAAGTCCACCACACTACTTACCTCTCTCTCATAATTTTCACCTTCTTTCACGAATGCCTAGGGAAGAAGAGGAAAGATGTTATCTAGATTGGACCTTGGAGGGGCGGTGGGTGGGTCACAGGTGTACCCCCATCCACCCAGGCTGGGGAGAGAGACAAGGATAGCAAGGGGAATACCGGGCCTCTAAAGAGGGTGGGGATGGAGGCGAACCAAAGGTAGGGCACTGGGCAGAATTATCAGATTTCAAGAGACTGGGCTGGGGGTTGTTGATGTGACAGGACTGCATGGGATGCAAATGTGGGGAAATGATTACAAATGGAAGGGACATAGGGTCTTCAAGCGTGGTAGTTGGTGGGGACAGAAGGAAGAGGATTACAGAGGACCAAACTGATGTGATTAGGAGAGTGTCTGGGAGTGGGGGGTTCAAGGAAGAGGATATGGGGACACTACCACAGTGGAAAGGATGTAAGGCAAAGGACTGAGGGGAGAGATGGAAAGAAAGGTAGTGGGAGCAGCAAAAGGGAGGGATTTGTTGACCCTTGGTTGGACGAGGAGGATATCCTTTGGAGAGATGTCTGAGGGGAAAGAAAGGATGGGATGGGGATGTGCAAAAGAGAGAGAGATGGGGGCACCAAGACAAGAAAATGGTCTGGGCCCTCAGAGGATTTTGTAGTGGACCCTCTCAGGGAATGGAGAGGACTGGTCATTCAGTGAAGAACACGGGTTCGACACAAAAAGATTAACTGCGGGGAAGTAGGGGAACAGATGTAATTGTGGGAGGGACAAAGCTGAATGCCCAGGGCTGGAGGTGCAAAAGAGCATGGAGGAGCCCCTGGGGGGAAAGGGAAAAGCCAAAGCCAGGGGTTTCGTGCTCACCACTACAATTCTGTTCCTGCAGCCCAGACCCATTCCCACCCACGAGCCCCTCCTCGTGGTATTGGGGACTCACCTGAGCATCTTCCGGAGTGCACAGCAGGATGGTGAAGAGCAGGGCCACGCTGAGCATTGCGACCTTCATCTTCCTCTGTGGTGCGGTGAGTGTTGGGTGAAGATGGAGAAGGTGAGGGGCAGATTTATTCCATCCATGACTCCTCCTTTTTCCTCCCGAGAGCCCCCAGGGCAAAGCCAGGCTTGGCAGAGACACCAGCCCTGGCAACAAGCCCAGCCCAGGCACAGAGTCACCCCCGCCTCCGGCACGGATCCGGACACCTTCCTCAGCATCAGTCCAGCTTCCTGCACGGGGCAGCTGCTCATGGATGGGCCCTGGCATCTGGGGGTTGTTAGGGAGAGCCACAGAGCACCCCTAACAGCCGAACACCCTACGGTGATGCCCCACTCTTCCAACATTAAACCATCATCCAGCTTCCTCCCACAGCCAGATCTCTGCATCTTCCAGTGCCCCTCACCTCTCATCACTGCCATCTGCCAGTGCTGCCCACCTCCCAGGGCAATCTTTCTCTCCAGGACTCCACCAGAGGTGATGCCAGCCTCAAATTAGGAGACTCGCAGAGTGATCTTGAACTGTTTTCCATCCCCTTGGGTAAAGCTGGGGCTGGGACTGACCCCTATTCTCAGAGCACCAGGGACCAAGGATTAGGGAACTCTGGAAAGTGGGAGGACAGCTGGGCACATGGGAACAGCAAGGTGACTGGGATCTTCAGTCACTGGAGGCACTGGGGAGCACTTGTGAGTACTGGGCACTGGGAGACAAGGCTTTGGCTTGGGGGCAGTGCTGGGGTGGTCACGGTGCCCAGCTCCAGCCCACCCCATCCCCTTTGCACTGCGGGCTTCAAACGGATCCAGCCTGCAGCCACGGCCTCCCCAGGGCGGAGAGCAGAGGGGAATATCCCCTGCCCCTGCCCCTGCCCCTGCCCGCGGCCACCGTGCCCTCCCAGACAGCCTGGGTCCCACTCTGCAGAGCTGTCCCCGGACGGTGGGTGCCGGTGACTCTGTGCCTCTGGCTCCAGCCCCATCCTGGCTGGGACTCGGACACAGCTCACCCGAGGGCCTTGACCCCACCGAGTGTCCCTTCAATGCTCTCGTCCTTGGCCCAGCCAGCTCTGTCCCCGAGCAGGATGTGGCCGTCCAGAGGGACGCGATGAAGTGGGTGCTTGTCCCCGGGCAGCCACTCACAGCTAATTGATGGGACAGAGCCGCCCTGGCGAGAGGAGGGAGGTTTGTCCCCGCAGCATCTCTGATAAGCCGTGTTTGCCCCGAGCCTGTGGCACAAGGAGCCCGTTCAGACAGCTTGGGGCTTGCTGACAGAACAGAACTTAGAGCTGCCCGGGTGATGGGGCTGCCTCCCCAGGGCCACCGCGTCCCTTTCCCTCTCCCCACCTCGCCTGCCCTGCAGCTATCCCGGCCTTTCCAGGGTGGTTTCCTTTGCAGCACCCCCGGCCCAAGCATCACCGTCCTGGTGGCGCTGGGCAGTGTCCTCTGGCCAGGCTCGGGCAGGGGCAGGGGGGGCTTGTACACGAGGGGTTCATTACTCCACGCTGAGTGGGGAGAGCCGCTGGGTGAAGCTGCTGTCCTGGCTTGCACCAGCCCGGCACGACCTTTCCCATCCACCCGGCACCGGTGCGCTGGTTCTGTCTGGTGATGACACTCACCCGACCTGCCACCACCGCTCTCTTCGAGGATGCAGGTGCCTCAGGAAGCAAAGGAAGAGCGGGGTCCCTGTTAGCAGGGACATACCCATGATGGAGACAGGCAGAGTTGGATCAACAAGCTCAGGCAGCCCTGTTTTACCTCCCTGTAGATGCACACAGCTATCACAAGAGACAGATTGCAGGGCAGATATTTATTTATTTCTGCATACCAAGAAGAGGGCATTTTTCCTGGTGGTGTGAGCTAGAACTGGAAGGAGATCGGGCCAGTAAGGTCAGTGTCGGGAGGTGCAGCATGTAATTATTTGTGTCTTTCAATTGCTGACGGTCAGAAGTAACCGCAGGTAATGACCAGCAAATGCAGCGGCCGCACTGAGCGACAGCAGCACTGAAGGCATTGGGCTCGTTGCCTCTGCTGAGTGCCTGGGACATCCACTTTATGACAGCAGAGCCACGAACACTTTCTAAGGCTGGCGTGTTCCTCCGTAAGCTCATCCTCTGTTTGCTATGTGCCACAGTAATTCAAGCTGCCACGCTGTGCTTCCCAATCACCATTCACTTTCACAACCTTCCAGCAGTCCGTTTCACACGTCTGAAAGTAAAATAGTTCTCTGGTCTAGTCCTCTGCCTAGGAGGGTGTGAGGGTCATTTATTTTTGTGAGGCACAAGCTGGGAATCAAAGGCTGGTGGCAACAATCTGGTTCAGGTTTTGAAGTCAGTGGGAGGTTTGCCTGAGTTTCGGTGAATCCAAGGTGTCACTGGGTTTGTTCCCGTGGTGAGTCAGACTCCTGTCACGGCTTCAACGAAATAAAAGTACACTGATAAGTCTTTCTCAAGATACGTAAATGGCTCAGATTCTTCTCTGACATTATATGTCATTTTAAATTCCTCTGGTTATATCTTTACAGGATATAAACGATATATCTTTACGGGACACTAGCTATAAAGAAGAGATCTGTTGTGGATCAGCTGTGAAAATAATTTAGGCAACTGACTTGAATATTTGCTTTGGAAATTGCCCAAAGAGCAAAATCCACGGGAAGATTTTCTTCTTGACTGCTTCTGCTTTGTGTGCCATATATTAGAGAGTTAAGTAACGGTGCTGAATTATTTATCATATTTAAATAAACTGTGATGTTATTTGTTTTCTGAACTTATTTTGAAAAGAATTGATGAATTGTATGCACTGTCATTACTGAGGGTTTATTGACTTGGGAGAGGTCAAGGCCGCCTTTGAGATAAGTGCAAATCAGGTGAATGGCATTTGATAGCCACTTAACATTAAAGGTGCTATTCAGGACAATCCCACCTACTGGTTGTATCACATCTATATGGACACGCTCCTTTTTTTGTGACAGTAGCATATTCAAAAATAAAATGTCATGAGTTTGCTGGTTTGAGAATGAGGCATCTTTGTTTTTGACAATGAGATGCATCTCCCCTGCTGCGTTGTAGGAAACCCAGGGATGGAGACAGGGAGGGAGACCAATGAAGGCAGCCAGGAAAGGGGAGGAGAAGGGATGGGGGCAGAGAGGGAGGGGGAGAGGCAGCTCTGCAGCACTGGGCGGCGTCAGTGGGGACAGACAGACAGTGCGGGCCCTTTTTGCTACACATTTATGTCTTGCTTCCCATCTCTGAGAGCCCCCAGTTCCAAGTGTCCCATAGTACCGCAGAGTGTGAGGGGAAGGACAGGATTTGGGGGAGTCTCTGTCCTTCTCTACTACCTTTGGCTGGGACAGAGTTAACGGCAGAGTTGACCAGAGCGTGTTAGAGGGAACTAAGAATTCTGTGATAGCTGTTTAACAGTTGCTGCTCATGATATTGAATTATCTGGCTCAACATTAGTTTATCTGATCGGTGCAATGCTCCCTTTCTTTTGTACATGTTAAAGGCTGGGTTTGGCTTTTGCATTTTGCTGTGCTCTGTAGTGCTTGGTGGTGTTTTGCCTGGGAGTGTACTGTAAAAGCACAGGCCTTGAGCTTAATCTGGGATTGGACCTCTGCACTGATGCCATTACTCTGTGAATCATCGCATGGTGACAATTAACAATTACACTTTTTCCTGTTCCTACTCCAAGAGTTTTTCAGTTAAGGAAGCAGAGAACGGCACCTTCACCACCTTCTTCTATGTGTCAGCTATTTACTCCCTCATTATAATAACTCTTCAGTATGTTGAACATCCATGGGGAACCAAAACACTCCTATTAGTACTTCTCCAGAATTTTTTTCAGCTTTTTCTAGCATTAACCAGCCATGTAGGAATATCACTAATATATATTAATATTTTAATTATATTAAAGGTAAGTCAGGGACAGGAGACATTATTATAGAGATCTGCTACACACCACTCGACCAGGGAGACCACCGGATGAGGCTGTCTATAGACAGATAGGAGCAGCCTCACATTCACTAGCCCTGGTCCTCATGGGACACTTCAACCACACTGATATCTGTTTGAGGAAACACTGCAGTTCATAAGCAATTCAACAGGTTCTTGGAATACACTGATGATAAATTCCTTTTCCAAGTGATAGAGGAACCATCAAGGAGAGGGGCTATGCTGGACCTTGTTCTCACCAACAAGGAGGGGCTGATGGGGAGTGTGAAGATTAAGGGCAGCCTTGGCTGCAGTGACCAATAGATGGTGGAACTCAGATCCTTAGGGCAGGAAGGAGGATGCGCAGCAAGCTCAGTACCCTGGACTTCAGGAGAGCAGCCTTTGACCTCCTCGGGGATCTGCTGGTAAGGTAACATGGGATAAAGCCCTGGAGAGAAGAGGAGCCCAAGAAAGCTGGTTGATATTTGACGATCACCTCCTCCAAGCTCAGGGGAGATGCATCCCAACAAGGAGGAAGTCAGGTAAGAACAGCAGGAGGCTGAGTGGAAGAACAAGGAGCTTTTGGACAAAAAGGAATCCTACAGAGTGTAGAAGCAAGGTTGGGTAGCCTGGGAGGGTTACAGAGAAAGTGTCTGCGTAGGCAGGGATAAGGTTAGGAAGGCCAAAGCCCTGATAGAATTAAATCTGTCCAGGGATATCAATGCTAACAACTAAAGCTCTTACAGCTACATCGGTTATAGAAGGAAGACTAGGGAAACTGTGGGCCCTTTATGAAAGGAAACAGGAGACCTGGTTGCCCAGGATATCAAGAAGGCAGAGATACTCAAGAACTTCTTTGCCTCCTTCTTCACTGGCAAGGGCTCCAGTCACACCACTGAAGTCACAGAAGGCAAAAGGGCGGGTAGGGAGAATGAAGAACCACCCACTGTAGAAGAAAATCGGGTTCAAGATCATGTAAGGAACTGAAGTGCACAAGTATGTGAGACTTGCTGAGATGCACCTGCGGGTCCTGATGGAAGTGGCAGATGAAGTGACTAAGTCACTATCCATCATATTTGAAAACTCATGACAGTCCGGCGAAGTTCCCACTGTCTGGAAAAGGGGA